TCATTCTCACTTAATCAAATTCAACATACCAATTAAGATATGTTCTATAAATATAGCTCCAGCACTTAAGCATATTCACCCCAAACATTTTAGCATTTAGATACAGGTGTAAAATATCAAGAACTAATTCGATAAACTTCTGATGCATTGAGTACAACATATGAAAAGGTATTATTTCAATATATTTCGTTCAAATTGTGTACGCAATGAACGTAAGTGCTTTTGGTATTACTTTTTGTTGATTTTTAAAAGTTATAATTAATTTTAAATTATTTAATTATTGTTTCCTGATTCCGTGTGTATTTGGTTGTATAATAATATGATTAATATAGTTTCGTCTATGCTATTTGTTTTTCTAATAACTTTGATTTTGAATAGTCTAGGCAATTTGTTTTTAACCAAGTAGTTCTACATTTCGACATCTGGTGGAAGATTTCTTATCACATGGATGTTTAGTCTTCTTTCGTACAATACGTGTCTTAGTATTGCTTTGTGCTCTTCAGATGTTTCGTAATGGTTCAACGAAAGTTACTGAATTTTCGTATCATTGTTATTTTTTGTTGCTAAACATATTAGGCGTAGCAGGTTGAAATCATCAACCATGCGAAAACGATATACCATTATTATATACACATGATATACACATGATTTAATTTTGTGTCTGGGCACGTGAGTTGCATTAGAAGGCAACTCGATCCGCTTTACTTTCTCAAGTGCCCATGGTCTATTAATTATTAATACAATACAGTTTATGCCGATTCATAATAACGCCGCCATGTGATTCCCCAATTTTCCTATGCTGGCTCGAGGCATATATCTATTGTAGGAACGGAACTGCGCCGTAATCCGAGAGCTAACCTCATAGAGGTTAGTCTTTAAAACCGATTCGATACTTTATTTTCTCCAGCACCGATCTCAAAACTTCTTTGGCCTTCAACATTTACAAGAGTTCCTTTTATAGACATTTTTGCTTCACATTATTGCGGGAGAACTTTACCTTGTACACGCAAATTTTATATAATATGTGATAAATGATTTTTGTTTTTAGAACCTGTCCAAACTGCAATCTTAAAATTATTAAGGAAGACGGATCTAACAAAATGACATGCATGTGCGGAAATATGATGTGCTACGTATGCAAGGCAAGCGTACAGGACTACACCCATTTCAATGGACAAGGAGGAAGCAACTTTAATTTGTAAGACTTCTTTGTATTTATTTGATTTGATTAAATTAAAAACTAAATCCATGTTTCAGGTGTCCTCTGTACAACAATACAAGAGAAATGCACGCAGCGAATGTTCGTCAAAGAGCGAGGGATGTAATGAATGAAGTCGGCGGTAATTTAAAAATTGATCCAACTGCCGACATCGATGATTTCTTGTGATCAGAAAAAATATATATATTTAAAAATGTACTCGTAAATTTAAGAACCAATAGCAGTTTGGCCAGTTCCTGAAACTGGCGCAAGTTTAGATTTAATTTTTTTTCTTTGACAATTTTGAATTTGTGGAGCGAAAGTTAAGAGATTTGCCACGAGTGTTTCATACCCTTATCACCGCTCTATACGATGTATTCCTCTTTTTAAATGTATCTCGGAATTATTATTTACCTGTAGTATATTTGTTTTTTTTTATATGAAGTTGTTTATTTTTTTAATAATAAATTATTTGCTATCTAAATATCTTTAATTATTGGATACTAAACCTAATAACCTATAGCGAATACAGTCGTACCTTGATTAGCAAGTAGGATGCATTCCAATAAATTCCTTTGTTCATCGTAGCTTTGTTTTCAGAGGTAAATAATACTAGAATGAAGATACGTTCCTTCGTAAAGAAAACCACATTTTAAGATATGAATCAAAAATTTTCGGACTTCGTTATATGAAAGCTTCGGTATCGAAAGTAAAGAAGGTGGGAGGTATTACTGTAGTTCTGGGATGTCACACATGGCTTGCATAGTAATTATCCAGAAATTCCGTCACTCGTAGTATAGTCACGGAATGGATTTCAATCATTCTACATTCGGTTGATATTGAATAATACAATCTCATAAAATTAATTTTAACACAATTTTATCTAGATAAGAGTTTGATATTAGAGTTTACAAGGAGACGTGAGAATGTTTGCAAAATTATTTCAAGACAATCCAATATTTATTTGATACTTTTTATTGTATAATGAAATTATTTTATAAATGGCAGAAATACTTCTGCCCATAACCATTTGTTTACAATTTGACAATTACCTAAACAATCAAATAACTAAATTATTCATGACATTAAATAGAATATCATCATTATAAATGTTAATATTAATTAAAAATACTGTACACTAAATATACTCCAAACACTAAAACTAACATTTCGATCATACTCCACACGATCCACAAACTGAAATAGATAATAAACATTATTATATATAAAAAAGAGACCAAAATTAAATGTAATTGTACTTACATCCAGAGTTTAATCAGGTTTGTAGGTTTACCCGTTAACTTTTTATAAAAATAATGTACCAATATATAATGCACGTGATCCAACAACATTTTTTCTTTGATGTATACATCGATGTTAGGTAATTTAACGGTGAAATCATCATTATGGACTGAAGCATTGGCAACTGAATTCAGAAATGTATTTTTCACAAAATAGTCGAGTAAATTGGTGAAACCGAATAATGTTCTTTGCAAGCACACCAAGCTAAAATGATAATTTTAATTGGTTGAATTATTAATGTCTATGTTTCTTTAAACAAAATAAACAATCCCCAATTAAAGACGGGAATAGTTGAAAAATCAAGAAGTACAAATAGTAGAAAATGTAAGTATCGAAAAGCGCCCTTATCGTATACCAATTCAATTATGTCTTGGTCTCCTTAAAGACGTTAAATAATGATTTGTTTAAATCATATAAATCGTATTCTATCAGATCACGTACTGTCCCAATATAGATGCTGACGTCTTCATCGCTAATTTCAATTAAGATTATTTAATAACAGTCGTTCGTGAAATATTTGAACATAAAATCTTATAAATAATAAAATTATTGACTTTTAATCTAATGGCTAAATTAATTAATAAAACTTATAATTGTTTACATTTTCCTCAAATTTAATCAAATTGACACATTTTTGACATAGAGGTGAATGCCAATTTCCAGCATATGTATTTATATATGCTGGAAATTGGAATGTACAAACAATTGTACATTGTACAATGTGTCAGTTAATATTTTATTAAAAATTTATAATACTTAAAAAGTTTCATAATAATTATATTAATCTTTGGAAAAATCTACCAGACAGAAAAGATCTAAAGATGTCGTAATAGTTGTGAGTCAGCATGCTCTTGATTTTGTAGAGCAAACCCGCGTCACACTTTGTCGAAGACCTGCTTTTCCTCCATGGATAGTTTTATCTCTATTGTGACGCGATGGATCTGCTCGATGGTGGAGTGATGTCGTCGGAATCCGAACTGGTGGTCCGGAATCTCACCCTCCTCGGACAAGATTGGACGGATCCTCCGCAGCATTATGTCATATAATACATTTATTTTAAAGTCTATTCCAGTAAACATTAAGTAAATCTTGTGGCTTTCTTATGGAAGTTTTTACCATTATGTTCTTCTCTTTTAATTTATTGGTTGACTGTCGTTTATTGATGCTCAGCGATTCCACTATTTCCTTTGTCTGTGTGTCTGCTGCCATCCTTAATACTGTCGTTTCCATCGCTCTAAACTCAATATAGACCAAAATAAACTTGTTTCAGTTGTTCAGTGAAGGAGTTGCATACGCACAACATAAAGAAACTAAAGTACTTTGAAGGAGATGTTCTTATAATTGACTTGTTAAGTTATTTGTGTTGTAATAGAATTGTAATTTATTGGATATTACCTGAAATGCTTCACAGTAACGTCGTATTATCATACACGTCATATGATAATACGACTTGTGATTTGTTTTTGCCATAATAAATACAATAAATATAAAACCTTATTTTCAGTAACCATTGTTTTTTAATTATAGATTTACACGTTAAAAGCATTTCAAGTGCTATTAAGATGTACACTTTAGTCGATTTTGTATATAGTAATGCACAATAATCAAGTTGTGTTGGATTTCAGGACACAGTGGAATATTGCCTGGTGTTGTCGTTGTGGAGTCTCAGTAGTTGGGAATTTAAAATAAGTTTATTATAACTGGTACTCTTGGGGTCCTTTTTCAAGACAATGTAGTTACTTCGATAGGTTAACTAAGACTATACTCGTCTTAGGATTTTATGAGACTATGCTCCTCATATTAACGTTTTACTGAGACTATATCAGTCTTAAAAGTTTTTACTGAGACTAATTCTAAAATAGTTGTTCTACTTACAAAGTTAATTCTTATTAATACGGGGTGGGAGTTGTGATCGGGAGTAGGGTT